GTACTGTTGTACGTCTACAGCCAGCACTAGGTACTTCTCTATGAACTTTTATGCTTCTAAATGAAGCTTTAACAGTATTGAACTTTAACTAGACTACTACTACTAACGCTACACATTGAAACTGATGAAAATGGAAAACAGCGAAACGTTTTTTAATTGATAAATAGACAATAAATGACTGAAGCCCAGGAATTGATTTTGATTTGGATTTGGAATTAATAACACCCAAAGGCTCATTAAGCTCACAAATTGCTCACAAAATAATTTCAGTGTTGGGCCTGGACATCGTCACTCCCGAGTCCCTCTATGGATACGAACCCGAAATGGGGCTCCCCATGCCTGGGAACGGCCAATCGTACACCACAGAAAGCGTGATTTTGCCCGATACTTCGCAGTTCATGCAGGAGAACAAGTATCAAGTGCCTTTAATCGGGTTTCCCAAGTACAACAACTACCTGTTCGACAAGTCCAAATTCGATCCCAATTCGAGAGTGTTTATCCCACTGTCCTTGCTGGGCATCAAGCCCTTGGAGCATGGGGAAGTGATAACGAGGCACAGTTTGCCAGGTGATGGGGCGATCGTCAGCTACATCCAGTATCGACAGGCTGGGAATTTGCTGCCCAAGAGGTATGACGAGTCAGTGGTGCGCCGATGGGGCGTGGATATCACGATCGGGTCCCCCTTGATGTCGATCGGCGTTTTGGTGCCGGAATATATTGAGGCAGTGGAACCAACCACGCAGAGCAACCTCAATGTGAAACTGCCGGAGATCGCAATGCCCGACGACAAATGGACGAAGAAGATTTTCGTGGAGCCCCAAGTTAAAGTCCACGAGAACGAGGCGCACTACCTAAGGTCAAGGGAACGGAGGGATAAGGATGTGACGAAGAAATTGCTCTACAGGAGCTTATCGGGAATTCCCCTCAAATCCCCCATACGGCTGCAGATTTGGCTCAATTCCAGCGACACTCTGTTCAACGAACGCTCCAATCCCCAGTGCGTCCATTGGAGCACCGCAAGAGGGTAAGCAGTCATTGGCTCAATTTTTTCCAGTTCAAAAAAATCGTTTTTCTTGCAGATTTGGAGAATGGTCCAGAGTCGGCTGTCGCACCGAACTAGAAGAGAACTGGTTCGATAATTTGGACGAAAATTGCGTGGTGATCAACTGCAGCTGCAACCATTTAACCACCTTTGCCATTCTGGTGGACGTGGTGGACTTGGATGTGAGTATGCGCGGTTTTGAGAAAAAAAACACCCCAAAAATGGCTTTAAATGCAATTTTTCAGTACATACCCGAGCCATCGCTGCTTGAAACCGTCTCAAGCTACAGCTGTTTCTCCATATCGCTGCCTCTGCTGCTTGGGACCTACTTGATATTGGCGCTAATTCGCGGCTTGCAGACCAACTCTAACACCATAAGGAAGAACTTGGTGCTCTGTGTTTTTTTGGCCGAGCTGCTCTATTTCGTTGCGTTGAAGGCGAGAAAATTCATGGTTTCTATAGAGGTGAGCCCCGGTAAGCTCATTGAGTTTGAGCTGAAGCTAATTATCGGGTGTTTTTTGCAGTTTTCCTGCAAATTGGCGGCCATTGGCCTGCATTATCTGTGGCTGGCGTCGTTTTCCTGGATGTTGGTGGACGCGATTCATTTATACAGGATGTTGACGGAAATGCGGGATATCAATCACGGGCCGATGCGCTTCTACTACAGCATGGGCTATGTAGGGCCGGCTGTAGTGGTGGCTTTGGCTGTAGGAGTCAGAGCCCACCAGTACGGGAATTACTACTTGTATGTGGCAGGGAGTGATTCATTTGCGCTTCAATTATCTGGAGCTTTCTCGTTTTTCAGCTGTTGGGTCTCGCTCTATGAGAGCGTGGTTTGGAGCCTGGTGGGCCCAACTTGCCTGCTCACATTTGCCAATCTCTGCATCCTGCTTCTATCGATCAGGGCTGCGTTCACCATCCAGGACCATGTGCTGGGCTTTGGGAATCTCAGGTAAATTCCCATTTTGTGCACCTTCTGGATGGTTCTGAGCGTTTTTCCAGAACACTCCTGTGGGTCTCAGTGATCGCTCTTCCATTGCTGGGCATCACCTGGGTGCTGGCGCTTCTAGCGGCCTCAGAACGGCATCCGCTTCTGATGCCGTTTTTGTCTGCCGCTGTTCTCGTGCACGCCGCTTTCTCTTTGGCCGGCTACTGTTTCGCCAACAATCGCGTCCGGCAGAATCTTCTGAGGTACTTTTCAGGAATATACGATGTTCGTGGGCATTGCATCAAGCTTTTGCAGGACTTTCATGCGCTGCATGGGCAAGAAGGTGCCTTTACTGGACACCCAGTCAGTGGCGGGCGTGCCGAGCACCAGCAGCCAGAACATTTCAGCCCAATCTGTAAGTATTAAAGGCCCCGGAAGGGTGAATTTTCATTTAAATCTCCCCATTTAAGCGGTCTGCATTGACGTACCACGCAGGACTAGATCCGACCAGCAGACGAAACATTGGCATATCGACTTCAAGCACCACTTCCAGATCAACAACTAAAACCAGCTCGAGTCCTTACAGGTGAAAATTGTTCTTTGAAGTCCCTTGGGTGGTTGGCAAGAGTTTTTTAGGAGCGACACCCATTTGCGTCACACCTCAACATCCACGTCCAACTACAACTCAACCAGCGACGTCCCCTCATACCTGAGAGGTTTTGAGCAGGAGGAGAGAAGGTCGCGCCGCAGAGAAAGAGGTGCTGGAGACAATGACCATGCTGCAGGTGATGACATCATTGGGCGTCCTCTAGGAGGTGTTTAGCTAATTGCGTTTTTACAGGGCGAGAGCGCGGGGATAGCGATTCGGACAGCGACGGCTCGGAGGGCCGCAGTTTGGATCTAGCGTCCAGCCATTCGAGCGATGACGACGAGTCCAGCGCTAGACGCCATCATAGTCGCAATCATATTTCAAGGTAGACCCCAGATATGGTTTTCCAAGGAGACAATTACTTCGCACAAATTATTTCGATGCACCTGACGAAATGTCTTTTTATATACGCTTTCGTTGAACAAAGCCGGTCGTTTTTAGATTGCAAGAAGAAATTGGCCACCTTCTAGAATATCCCAGTATCTAAGATTTCTATACTGCTTTAATTGCAAGATTCTGGACATCGCTTTTATATAGTAAAATCGCCAGTAATTTTGTGATACCTTATTGGTCGATTTTCTCAACAGTCAATAACGGTTTTCCCCGTTAATATGTCTTTTCCTAGAAGAAAAATCGTTATCTCATATCATTTTGGCAACTAGCCGCAATGGATCGCGGTTATATTCTTTCCCTTTAACAGCGATATTTAACACGAACGGCGGCACATTCATTGGAACCAGGGTTGCCAGGTCCGAAAATCGAGTTTCGGTAGATAAGCTCGAGACTTCGGTGGAAAATCGGTAGACTCATTTTTCTTTCATTATTAAAGGCTCCATAAAATCGCGCGTTTTTCAAAATGTTTAAACTTACAGGAATACTAAAATAAACATGAGTCGCCAGTAAAGAAGTAAATATGAAATTGAACTCGTTTTTAGCTTATTTCTCAACTTAGTTTTCATTAGATTAACCCATGATACAATGAATACATGCATATATTCATTGTATCATGAGATTAACCTGTGAAAATATCCGTTCAACTTGGCTGATGAGTGAGGTAGAATAAGCAGGTTACAAATAAAATTGGAAACACGAATGTATCAGCTCCATATTTCAATATTTGTACTTGGCTCCAAAACTCTAAAATATTTCCAGAATTTTTTTTAATTTCTTCAACATTTCGCAACAGACATCATTCTGTGTCCAGACCTTGTAATTCACTATCATTTACTAAATTTGAAAATATAATTGCAACATCAGAAGTAGATTGTGGGGAACCTGATTTCACTGTTGCAGGATCCATAAAACATAATTTTATCAAATTTATGATCTAAATAGCGGGCTTGATTCATTTTATGTTTGAAAAAGAACTCTAAAATACGATGTGTGCTAAAATAAAATGTCTACTATTACCAACGTACTTTGATCAAGAATGGAAATATGTTATATTTTAAGGAATCCACGTAAATTTTTTCCACTTTTATTTGTTACTTTTCGGTAGAAATCTGCATGGCATCGGTAGGTTCCTTCACAAATCGATAGATCTACCGAAAAATCGGTAGACTTGGCATCTCTGATTGGAACACCGGGCGAAAGTTGATAACGCGAGTCACTAGAACACGGTTGCCATATCCGTACAAGGTTTAACTAATCCGCCGCTGAATTTCAACGGTGCATACCAGCTGGGTTCTTAAACCGGATTAATTTTTAAACGCGTTTAGTTGATCGCGATTAGGTAGCTTGGCGGTGCATACGGCGGTTAAACCGGTTTAAGACTTAATCGCGATTAAAGTCTGTCGGTGCATACGGGCATAAGCGACAAATAGCATTCTGCATATGACAGTTTCCAATCTATAACCTCTGTGATCTGTGCCCAAACAAATCGGGATTTATGAATGACTGGCTTGGTCTATTTATTAATGTCTTTGGGTTAACCATTAGCGCACCAATATTTCTTCGAACTTGGCTCGCCACGTAGCAGATCTGACAGATATTTTGCTCTATTCGCTATTCGCAGTAAAGCTATCGCAAGACTGGACTTTAGATATTCAGCCCTGTGCTGTATCACTCACGTTAACTTTAACGTGCATGTCACAGAGAAAGTAAAATTTATATTTGTAATTTTTTTATTTTACTTACTCTATGGTGCATGTTATCCGTCAAACACGTTATGTGTTTTACGTTAACCTGTTAACCTTTATATTATAACGCGCACGCTATCGACGAACGTTATATGAAGAAGTAGCGCTTCAGAACAACAGCATCAAATCACATGCCGCTTTCGAACTTAACGTGCATCCCTCGAAGTTAATAATAAATAAAACAATGGTGTTTAATCAGAGCGTAGTTTTGTCTTTTAGCTATAATTTGTTTTTGATTTAAAAGAAAAATATGTCTTTTGGTGGTCTTATAAGGTTAGCTTTATTAGAACAATTGGAAAATGGTCTTGAAAATAAGCTAAACTAAATTTTCAAATTGTTTGCGAGTTGTTTTTGTGCCTCTTCTGTGCATGAATGCAAATCATAAACAAAGACAAGTATGGAAGTAGGTGGCCCAAATTATCTAGTAAAGAGCCAAAGTTTCATTTTGAATAGGCAAGGATACCTTCCGAATATAACCGAGCATGTGGCGTCACGGTGCGGCACGCCTCCTTCCCTCAATGTGGTGACCAACTCCCAACTGTTCCCGGCAATTCAGCCCACGTACGGCTCAAGATGGGCCAGCCAGTTGCCCGAAGCTTACTTGCCCAATGTGAACGGTAAGTTCGAATGGTTTGTCGAAGGTTGGGGGTAATCTGGGAGGTTTCAGTGCCGGAAGTGGGCCGATGGTCAGCCGAGACCGGCTCAGACAACGAGTTTGTGCACAAGAACTCCCCCAATCCGCTCCCCAATCCGGATGTTACTCCCGAAACGTGCTTGCGCACCATCGGGTCTGAACAGTATATGGTGCAGGCCCACTATAACAACCACTACAACGCTAATATGCAGTTCAAGGGGGACTATGTGGGGAAAATGATGCCTCCTGATAGCGTCAACTACCAGGACTACGATCGATGTTCGGACCTTGAAGAGAAGCATCATATGAACGACAAGTATTCGTTTCCCTACACTGGTGAGTCTTTTGCTGCTTTTGCGGCGTTTTGAGCTAGAATTTATGGCCTTTCTTACTAACGCTGCCCCAAACAGACAACATGCTGGAAGGTAAGTTGTCGAAGCCAAGGTGCAAGTGCAAATTTTCGTTGTTCTGATTGCGGCTGTTTTTCCAGCCGAAGAGGATCATGTGACTGTCCATAGCAATTATCTGCCGGCCTCGCAGCCAGGGAGTCGGCTGATGTCTCCAGTGGCCAGTGATGTCAACAATCTGGACTATCATGGGCAGGGTTTAGGCTCCAGAATGGGGTCACGGATAGGTGAGTCTATGCGGAAATATTGTGAAAAGTCCCATTAAGTTGGTGATAAGTTCTATATTGTTAAGGCGGATTCATTTTTTTACAAACTTTTTTTTGGGTATATCGCCTCAAAGGTTTTTGTCTTTAAAAAAAGGCAGAATTTCCTCACGTCTTTTATTACAGATTGATAAATAGTGCTCCTATTTCGCAATAAGAACGAATTATTTATCAAAAAGTAATCA